TCAATCACTTCTGATTTCTACACCCATTCTAAACGCAGCTCAATTATAACTTCTTCTCACAAATAGTCTTCTTCATACCAATTTCAGCTGAGTTAGCTGTTGTTCATCTCTACCTCTAGGATTCTCTGTATTTCCTTCAATGTTTAATGCTGTGTGTTGCACTTAAAAGAACTTATCTCTTTTTAAATTAATCTTTTCTTCTCTTATAGTTTTTGCACCTTGAGCATAGGGACAATTTTTTTACTTCTCTTTCTATCCCTAGGGTCTATGTAGTGTCTATTACACAGTTCATGCCCAGTTCCTCATAAGTGATTAAAGAGTAGGATGTCATTCTTTTGGTTTCTAGAACAGTATTCTTTACACTACATCTAAATAAAAATTGACTGATTGATTAAAAAGGAGGTATATCAGTAATCAACAGTGACTTGTAAAACATGAGGTTGTTCTTTACACTATACAGAGACGTAACTGTACAAATTTCCCATTATTCCAAAGACCTGATAATTGGAACTATGTTCCAAGAACTGATTTAATTACTATTTAATTGTGCCCTAAGTATTAAGTTATTCATTCAAGTATTTATATATGCTGGCTTCTTACTACTGGTTAAAGTTTGAGATGCCCCTTCTACCTAGATTAACTTACCGAGGTTCATTTTCAGATTCAACTGCAAGTTATAATAATTTCTGCACTCCCAGGAGTCTGATTCCATGACTCTCATCCAGAGAATTCCTCAGCTGACTTGCAGGTTTGTCTAGAAATGTCTGGTCCTTGAGAACACCCTCAATTGTCTGTAAAGACACAGATGAAACACTTTGAGGAATTCTCTCGTTCCACACCACCCCATCTTCTCCCATCCTCTTTCATTTGACAATGAAATGTGAGGGTCAGTGAGTCTGATAAATCATGTTTAGATTCACTGGAAATTTGCAACATTTTTATTTCCAGATTTCATGCCATAAGACCAACTTACAGGGCAAACTACTTTAGAGTAAAGATATTTGGGGTCTAAATAATGAAACCCATCCAAGTAGACACCAAGATGTACTCATAACACATAACTGTAAAACAAATAGAAACCACCTGCAAAGAGCCCACTAAACTCCAGAAATTAATTTGTACATAAATTTGTTTAGAACTCAAAGTTTATTTTCCCAGCCAAGCTATGTTATACATCATGAATACCTGCTTTTAATAGGTATTTAATGTCCTTTAGTTTAACTCTGATAGAATCAAAGAATTCTTTTGCACATCTAATAGTATTTATGTGTACAACAATGTAAATCCAACTTCCAGTGAGTAAAGTATCTGATTTTTCCACAACCCTTGCAGAGGTTGAAACCATGTTTGAGGAGGATGAGGAGGAAACCCCCAAGACAGGGCAAAGGGGAGTTTGCTAGAGCTCTAGACTGCTGGGCTGTAGAAGCTGTTTCCTGCAGCTAGTCACATCTCAGCTGGGCACTTGTACTTCAGGAGGCGGAGCATAAAGTTAAAAGGAAATTCCACAGCATCAGACAGACCCAAACCGAAGGACATTCCACAAGATAACTGGCTTGTATTCATCAAAAATATCATGAAAGACAAAGACGAAAGACATGTTAACTGAATGCAACATGCGATCCAGGATTTTCTTTTGGTATAAAGAACATTACTGAGACAATCAGGGAAGTAAATGAGATCTATAAACTAGATAAAAGTACTATATCAATGTTAATTCCTGATTTTGACAATGCTAATATGATTATATTATATAAGAGAGTGTCCATGTTTTTAGGAAATAAGCACTGAAATATTTAAGGGTAAAGAGGCATCATGTTTGTAACTTATCCTCAAACATTTCTTGAGAAATTA